TTAAAAAACTAAAATGTGTTCTAAAATAATTTTGTGGTTCATAGCTTGTTTAACTAATCAATCAACAATTTTATTTTCTTAATATTGAAAAAAAAAACATGGATTACTAATACATTTGCACATACTTGTTTCTATGTAAAGGTTAAACAAAAACATAAGAATAAATCTTAAATAACTTATAGCAGAAGAGAGAGAGGCAGAGTGTGAAAAGTGCATGCCCATAAAACATTCATTAAAGCCACTCACAGCGTGATAATAAATTGAATTTAGTGTTTCAGCTCAGACTGATGATGTGTATCTGAGGAGATGATGATAAATCTGTTGCTACACCTGCTCTTCCACTTCAAATTCATATTCACACTCAGAGGCCTGAGACTTCCAGCCTAACTGCCTGTGGAAGCAGAGAGGCTCTGATGAAGGGTGAAAATATAAAAGCAGGAGAGACTGTAAGGCCCACACAGCAGGAGGGGCTGAGGATGGTCGCGTGGACGAGCAAGGATGAGATGATCACAGGGAGGAGGGAAGGGAGACAGCAAGGAGTTAATTAGACTTGATTTTCTTGATTTATTTAATTTTCAGGGACAACACGATACCTTTAATCAAATTCCATCTGTTTTTCWTAAAATGCACTTAACACAAACTGCATCTATAGCAAAAGTATCAAGTAATTTCATGGTACTTCAAATCCATTTTAGTCAGAATAATAACACATTCTCTAACATTTCCTACCACTGTTATGGCGAAGACATCAAGTTGAGACTTTTCAAAAACTGTTTTTTAAAGAATCTTAGACAAAACAGGATGTGTGATCATTGGATTATTGTTTTTTTTTTTAATTGGACTTTGACTGTAGAAAGAACATCCTTTGTTTTTACATCTTATTGACTGCTGTGACTTGTTTCAAAGCAGCTGAATATTTTTATTTATAATTACTTTGATTTAAGATATTTTCACGACATAATTAATTTGTTTTTGTTTGTCTTCAATTATCTATTTTTTATTTTATGCTTCATCGTTATTCATACTGCTCTTAATGTGAAGCACTTTGTGATTTATATTTGTGAAACATGCTGTATGAATACACTTTATTTACGTAAGTACACTGAAAAAAATAACTTGTAAGACATGAAAAAATCCTCTAACAAATTTGCACTGAAGTTTGTTAAGTAAATTTAAATGCTACAATTTCATGTAATTTTTACTCATCATTATCT